TATACCCACTTGACATCAATTGTCTTCTTGCCTTGAGGAAATTCGACAAGTGACCAAGTGTTGTTGTCTTCGATAGACTTCACTTCTTCGTTCATTGATTTCACCCACTTCAAATTCTTCAATGCTTCAGCTGCATTAACGGGTTTGACATCTGCATAGAAAGTATAATATACCAGCTCACCTTCATCATCTATCACATCATCTGATGTAATCACACAATCTTGTAATCTTGCAGGCATGCGTCTTGTTCTTTGAGGTCTGCTTGTACTTGGTATATCTGCTAGTTCCTCTTGTCGAACTTCTCTTTCGACTTGAGTTTCTGGTTCTTCGAATAGGATTCCCACTGAATCTTTCTTGACATTTTCAGTCCAATCCCATTCTTTAAACTCATCTATGATCACGTCCCTGCTGATCACAATCTGCTTTTTTACTGGATCTAACAACTTGTAGCCTCCTGTCGAATGATATCCAACTAGAATCATTTGACTTGACTTATCGTCAAGTTTTCTTCTCAACTGATCTGGCACATGTCTATGTGCAATGGATGCAAATACCTTCAGATGACTCAAGCTAGGCTTCACACCAGACCAACATTCTTCTGGAGTAATTCCTTCTAGCTTCTTTGTGGGACATTTGTTCAAAATGTATGTTGTAGTCGAAACAGCTTCACCCCAAAACTCTTTAGGTAAATTCTTGCCTTTCAACATACTTCTCACCATATTCATGATGGTTTGATTCTTCCTTTATGCAATCCCATTTTGTTGTGGAGTATAGGGTGGCACCACCTCATGCACAATCCATTCCTTTTCACATAGCCTGTCGAAGTCTTTCGACACATATTCTCCACCACCATCAGTTCTCAAAACTTTGAGCTTGCGACCGCTTTGTCTTTCGACCATAGACTTAAACTTGACAAATACTTCGATCACTTCACTTTTCTTCTTGATCAGGTAAGTCCATAGTTTTCGACTGAAATCATCTATGAATGTAACAAAGTATTTGTCACCTCCGATAGAATCCACCTGAATTGGTCCACATACATCAGAGTATATGACTTCGAGACTAGCCTTCGATCTGCTTCCTGCATCCTTGCTGAAGCTATTCTTCTGTTGCTTCGTCTGCACATATTCCTCACATACCTCATTTGGAATATCAATTTCAGGCAATCATGAAACCATATTTTTTCTCTTCAAATATCTGATGTCTCTGAAGTTGAGATGGCCTAGTCTATAATGCGATATCCATTCATCTCTGCTAGCCGCAGTCGAAAGGCTCTTGTGCTCCATCACATTTAGTTCAATCTTGAAGGTTCGATTCTGAGACATAGGAGCCTTCAAGATTAATCTCCCATTTGCATCAATGACTCTCATCATCTTATCTTCGATTGACACTTTATAATTTTTTCCGACCAACTGCCCTATACTGAGCAAATTGCTCTTCATGCCTGGTATGTACAACACATTGGAGATTACTGACCTTTTTCCATCTTTCCTCATAATCATAACATCACCAATATCAGCAGCTGCTAGGGTATTGTCATTTGAACATTTTACCATATTTTTCATTAAGGGATTTATATTGATAAACCAGTCTTTCCTTCCTGACATATGTGATGAACATCCTGAATCCAAGTACCATTGGTCCTTGAATCTATCTTCATCTCTTGTTGTGACCATCAACATCATCTCTTCTTCTCATGTTTTGCAAGCTTTGCATCACTTTCTTGATTCTTTCGTTTTTCTGGACAATCACTCGAATAGTGTCCATACTTCTGATAATTGTAACATTGAATGTGACTCTTATCAGGTTTTCGACCACCACCTCTTCCTCTATTCGCAACACCAACTCTTTGGTTGCCTTGGTATGATTTTCTTTGATTCGACATGTTTCCTTCGATCTGGTTTCCTCTACCATTTGATTTGTTGTAGCCACCTCTACCTCTGTCGAAACACTTTCCTTTGCCTTTGGTCTCTTTTGCTGAATGTGCCTGCAAGGCCACATCACTCTTCGATTTGCCTGCGACTCTTTCATTCATTCTTTGTTCATGAGATTCAAGCGTCCCTTGAAGCTTTTCCTTTGTCAATTTCGACAAGTGTTTCCCTTCTTCTATCGCCACCACTATGTGGTCGAACTTAGGAGCTAAAGATTTCAAGATCATCGAAACAACAGCTCTTGTTGTTAACGTTTCTCCATATATCTTGATTTGATTTACTAGTTTTGTAACTCTAGTGAAGAAATCAAATATGCTTTCACTGTCTTCCATCTGAAGCAGTTCGTACGTCCTTTTGTGAGTTTGTAACCTCATTTCTTTCACCTTCTCAGCACCTCCAAAAGACTTCTCAAGGATTTCCCAAGCTTCTTTTGCAGATTCTGAATCACTAACCTTTTCGAAATTGTCCGGGCTGACACATTGATGAATTATAAATAATGTTTTATAACTCAGCTTTTCAGATTCTGTGTATTTCTTCTTTTCTTCTTCTGAAGCGTTTTCTCCAAGCGCTTCGACTCCATCCTTTACAAGGTCCCAAAGACCTTGACACCTGAATAAGACTTTCATCTGTTTGCAACAATTCTCATAGTTGTCAACTTTCAGAATTGGTAGCGTTGTTGGGTAGTTTGCATTCCCATAACTTGTCATCGTGAATTCTTCAATCGTTCTTGATTGACACTTCTCACGAATCGAAACAAAGCTTTTGATACCATATGTTGTAAACTCACTAAAATTTATGATGAATTTCTACCACAATGACAATTTAATTATGAGACAAACAAAGAAAAGGAGACAAGACAAATAATTTCTGCAGAGTTTCTCTCTGTTCACAATTTGTGAAAACTTTATTATTCACTTTGCAACTGCGAAATACTGTGAATGACTTGCTTACAAAAATAGGGGTTACTCCTTTTATTTATAACTGAGCTTACGCCCTAAGCCCGGAGCCCAAAATATTTATTTTGTTACTAAATCAAATCAAATATATTCTAGACTTAAATCAAATTTATTTAAATCTAAAACAAATCAAATCTTTTCGACACATAGTTTCGACACACTGAATTACAATTTAACACTTTAGACTTCGACCCTACTATCTATGAAAAAGAAAACACTCAAAGAGCAGACTATGATCTTTAGAAAGAACTATTCGTCTTTCCAGGCAATTGAAAATCCTATATAAGACAACAATAATTAAGTCACAAATAACAAACAAATGAGAAACTGATTCAACTAGGTCTAAATAATTTATTTCTAAACCTTAACCAACATCTTCTAAAAAAAGACTTAAATTCAATATTTCATTCATTCATAGTCGATATGGGATACTTGTATCTAACAAGCTACCCAACAAGTGTGAGTCATTTACATCCTATAACATGATTCAACACCTGATCCAACTCTCACTCCTCCATTAAATCGAACCACAGATCTAATACCATTTTTGTTAGGAAGTTCGAAGAAGTTGGGAGCACTAATGAATGCTCAACGTTCAAGAATCACAAGTGAGGGAAATACCACATCTCTACCAAAAACCTTAAAACATTTTAAATATATGAATCTTATTTCTTATAAATCTAACATTCCATCGATTCATAATCGATATAGTATTAGCCACTCACTGTTGCACTCAAGACATATATGCAAAGAGTACTTAAGCAAAAGAGGAAAGTGATCAAATTGCACCCAAGACATATATGCAAAGAGTACTTAAGCAAAAGAGGGAAGTGTTCAAAGACGTCTCTTAGAGATTCCATTAGGTTGTTAAGCCACAATAATATTGGAACCATCATTTATACATTAGAATAGGATCCAAACTTTCCACCACCCTACTATTCAATCGAAACAAGTGAACACTTATCTAAAAGCAAAAGATCTACAATATCCATCTAGTCTTAGGGTTGTAGCGGACATAATATTTTTGAAGAGACATTATTGATAAGTCTAATGATCAACCGGAAGGTAGAGCCATATCATCCGTTTGGATTATTGTCTTTTCTATCATGATCATTGTCATTTCGTTATATGAATGATGTGCAAATATGTGGATTGTATATCTTAAGGTTGTAGGCTAGTGCCCATCATTGGATATTGACTTTCCAAATTTGTGGACACAATTTAGTTGAAAAACTTAGTGAGCGACTAGAAGGGAGAGCTTACCGACACAGTAAAATAAATTAATTTAAACACACCAAGTAATTAGTAGTTTATGTGATATAATTTTCAATCCTCTTCGTACCAAAAATAAAGTTGTTAGATTATATACAGGCATACTTTTAAAAATATGGCAAACATTGAATACCTATACAAAACAACCGTTTGTGAGGATAGAATAGGGACAAATAAAAACCAACTAACTTTTCCACCTTGTCTCTAATGTGGTACAAATGGTCTTAAAGAAGTTCTGAGTTAGTAATAAATGAAACATATGTATTTGTCTATTTAGAAAATAAATACCAAAAATCCAAAGTACATTTTAGATTCTACGTAAGTTTGTATATAAATCACATGCAACGTATATGGATTATGTATCAAAGTCACATGACCATAGGGAGCACAAGAAATCTTGCAGAATCAGAAATAGGCCCAAAATTGGCATAAAGTTTGCACCTGAGGGAGTATTTAATTAGGAAATATAATTATGTCTTGAATGATAGGAGAGAGAAACAAAATGGGAGAGAGAATGAGTACACAAAAGAGAAAGGTATAAATCCTCTGTTAAATTTTATTCTTACATTTTTTAATCAATAAATTATTCTATACACCAACAATTTATATATCTTAATTAACAATGCAAATTTAGGGTTTGTATTCTGCTGCTAGGGTTTTGTATACTCCAGTATAATATTTTTTACCCTAAGGTCAAAAAATGGCTTCAAAATTCTCATCCATAACTTGTCAAAAACTACATAAATGTTATTCTTACCTATATAATTTTTTTATATGAAAATTCCACATATATATAAAATTTTATATTAAATAATTTGAAATGAAAAACTTACTATGAATCTCAAGAAGCTAATTGCTTGAAGGACTTGGAAGAATTATTTTGAGTTCCCTTAAGTTGACTCCTCTTCTTCTTTTTCTTTGTGTAAGGAATCCCTCTAGCCTTTGATTGAGACTCCTTAACTTCCCGAAGATAAACTCTAATAGCTCCGGTTCCGAACGGGTTATTCTCCGGGGAACCACCGTGTTCTTCGTACGCGGCTCTAAGCCGTCCGATGAGCGCATCGAGGCTCCCCCAAGCTTGTCTCAACGGACATGTGCACGGTGCAGGCGGATCGGGTTGTCCGAAAAAGATACAACCGTGCAAGTGAACCTTAGTCTTTCCAAATTGATCTAGGTAACGAAGAAACTCAAGAACATGGTTGAAGTTGCACTGAGACAAAGAAACCGGAGGTGTTTGGTTTCTTAAGTATTGTCCAAACGTGTTCCAGTCACGTTTCTTTTGTGATTCGTAGCGGCTTAAAGGAGCCACCGCCGTTGGTTGATCGGCGGTGGCACCGGGTCTTGATGAAGATGAGGAGGCTTGAACGGTGTCGTTTTGCATTGAGATGGACATGGTGAGTGAATAGTATATAGTTAATTATTTTATGACTAGTGTTTGTGTGTGTGAGAGATGAGGGTGAGAAGGAATTAATTAATAAATGTTTGTGGGAAGGAGAGATATAATGGAGGTGGTGAAAGAATTTGTGAGTGCAGTGGAGAAAGATGAAAATAACATCTATTGGTCTTTTGAGAGGACATGTCATGGGCCCTATGTGTAGGTGCTTTTGTTCCCCTTTTCAAATTCTCTCTCATTTTTGTATTTTTCACTTTTTACCTATATTGTTACAATTATTTCTGATACTATAGTGCTTTTTTTTTAATATATTTCAAACACTAACTATATTTTTGAAATTGGTTCTACATATTTGACTAAGACCGACAAAACAAGTCACATACGTCGTACATCTCCCTTTTATCCACATTTCTTTAAATTACAATATCTACGGATCGTTCTTTCACACTCTCATTTTTTTGGAACGAAACGAAGAGTTAAACTTATACTTTAAATTATGTTTGTACCGCTCCGTGTCATTTTCTTGGAGATTTTTGCAAAATTTCGTTTAGACCTGTTTGAAATATCTAAATTTGACTATATGATCACTATAGCCATCACGAATCAATTATCTCCATTTTTTTATTTTCAACCTGTCCAATTTTTTTATATATAAAAACATGAATGGATACAAGATATTGTAGTTTATTTATTTTACATATATTTTTCTATTTTTTTTTTGGATTAAGAAAAGTGTGCAAGTTAATTTGGTATATTATGTTGCATCATTGATAATCATTTTCACAACATGAAAATTATGAGACTTGGTGATGCTAGAAATGAGACCCTAGTATTTTCTTATTTTGTCTAATTCAAGGAAGCCAATTAGAATTGGTTTACCCAAGAGTTGGTGCCTTAGTGCGCATAGTCCAAGTTGGACTTGATTTAAAATCATATCTACTAATAAGCATAATTTAGTCCACTAATTGAGTGATTAGTTGTATCTATAATGATCAACTAATGCTTCGTGAGTAAAGGAGATTTTGCTGTTGTTGATAGATAAACAGTTTCTTGAATGACAGGAGCACAACAATAACTGAGCAAAGGAGATTGTTAAATTATATTGCGAGTGTATGATATTTGGTATCTTGATATGTATAATACCAAGGTTATTGACCCACTTCTGAAGGTCTTTCGTGCACATGTTTGTTAAATATGATAAGGGATGGAATCTAGACTGATTATAAGTCAAGCTAACCTCTCTTATATATTTAAATGGACTTTGTTTCTAATTAATTTTTGGTGGTGCACAAGGTTAATAAATGAAGAAAAGGTAAGAAAGAATAATATTAAAGTTCTGCAATGATGAATATAAAATTGTAAGGAAGAATGATTGAACAATGATTTTGTTACTGTTAATGTTATAAATGACAGCTACTATTAGTCCATTTATACATAAAGTAAATTGTCACGTAGGCTCTAATAAAGTAAATTTAATGGCTAAGTTAAAATGTACAAACTAGAAAATACTAAACTTAACAGTTACACGCTAACAAACTCAACTCCAGAACCCCAGAAGCTAAGTATACTTCTGGGCATAATCTCAGAAGTTTATGTTTCTGACTAACAACCTCAGAAGCTTTACTGCTTCTGAGCAACACTACTTCTGACTAACAACAACTTCGTAATATATCAAACTACTACTTCTAACTAAGCAATCTCAGAAGCTTACAACTTCTAACTAACAACCTCAGAAGTTCTACTGCTTCTGAGCAACACTGATTCTACCAACAACTTCTAAATATAAATTACTTCCAACACCATTCCTTAATTCATATTCAACTAACCAAAAAAACTGCAACACCAATTCCATCCCTCAAATGAATAAGGTGTTTAGTCTTGACATCCTTCGTCAGAACATCTGCAAGTTGCTTCTGGTTGCTACAATGTGCAACTTCTAATACTCCATTTAAAAATGCAGATTTCACCTTGAAAACCCATTTGACTCTGATGGCTTTCTTCTTCTTTGAAAGCTCAGTCAAATCCCAAGTCTTGTTTCTTTCAATAACATCAAGCTCTTCTTTCATGAACTTTAGCCACACTTTCTTCTTGAGAGCTTCACAAGTTGACAACGCAACCGCCAGTTACTTCTTGGAGCACCAAGAAATAAGACTTTTCAGTTATAAACAAAAATATCCATAAGTATTTCTTCTGTCAACTCTGTCTTCATACCAATCAAAATCTGAATAGCATATCAACTCTGCATCTGATCTAACACTAGAAGGGAATCACACTTCATACCTCAGAGTCCCTTCAGTATCTTGTAGCTTGTCAAACTCTACAAATCTCTTTGGTATATTTCTGACTCTATGTGGCCTCTAAACTTGTTCAGAATCTCCTTCTGATTCTGGAATAATACCTCCTTCTAGACTTTCTTCGGAAATTTGACTACCACTAGAAGCTCCACCTTTGTTAGCTTCTGGACCTCGTTCAAAACCACTACCTTCATAAATATCATCTTGAAAAGTTGGATCACCTTCAGAAACTCTACCTTCAGAAGTTCTACTTTCAGAATCATGATCACCATAAAAGACTGGATTACCTTTAGAAGACCCTCCTTAGAAGTTCCACCTTCTGAGACATGATTTTCACCATAAACATGATCATCTTTAAAACTTGACCTCCAGAACCTATGTCTTCAGAGTTTTCCCTTCTAGAATCATGATCACCACCAGATTCTGGATCATCATCAAAATCTGGATCAGAACAGATTCACCATCTGACTCATCTTTAGAGTCTCTAGAAGATTCTTTATCCTTTGACTCTAACTCACCTTCAGAACTTCCAAGTTCTGACTCATCTTCAGAAGCAGAATCTCCTTCAGATTCAGACTCATCTTCTAACTCTTCTTCAGACTCAGAATCACCTTCGGATTCTGACTTGTCTTCAGCTTCAGGGTCATCTTCTAACTAAGACTCGTCTTCAGAAACCTCAGATTCTGACTCCTCTTTAGAATATTCGGCGTCATCTTATGATTCTGACTCATATTCAAACACTCCTTCAAAGTCAGAATATTCAAAGTCATCTTTCCCCCCTTCAGAATTAGAAAATGACAATTTCACAGGTTTCTCATCAGATTCAAAAGCCATTAATAGCACAGGTTCATCATCAGAATCTCCTCTGACTATTTTTTCTTCTTCTTTGTTTGACCAACAATCTTTAACAAATTGGCCAAAACTAGTACAACAGTAACATTGAACCATTCTCTTGTCATACTTCTCATTTCCCTTGTGATGTTTCTTTTCATCAGAATAGAAGACTTTTGACTTTTGATACCTACCATGTTTTCTCTGCTTCTGGTTCTTCTTGACAAAAGAAGCTTCCAGAGCCTGCTCAACTTCCCTCTCATAAGTTCTTTTAGCCATGCACAACTCTTGCGCCTCTAGACTGCTTTGTAACTCTTCTATTCTCATGGTGTCCAGATCTTTAGAATATTTAATTGCTACAACAATATAATCAAATTGAGGAGTAAGTAACCTCAATACTTTCTCTATGATTACTTGTTCAGAAAGGGTTTCTCCACAAGCTTTCATCTCATTAGTGATCAAAATCACTCTAGAGATGTACTTAAAAACCTTCTCATTTTCCTTCATGTTAAGATTCTCATACTGTTTTTTGAGAGACTAAAGCTTCACCTTCTTCACTGATGTGTCACCACCATAACACCTGCTCAGTGTGTCTGATGCAACCTTCTCTATTGTCAAATCAACAACTTTCTCAAACACGTTCTCATCCATACACTGATGGATGAAGAACAAAGCCTTCTGATCTTTCTTTCTTGTATCTCTCTGTGAATTTCTCTGTTCCTCCATCGCATCTGCTGCAACTGGAACATAACCATTTGTAACAAGCTCAAGAACATCTTGAGCGCCAAAAAACACACACATCTGAATCACCCAATGATTCCAGTTTTTGCCATTAAATACTAGAAGTTAGGTGCTCAGATTACTGTTTTTGTTCATCCTTAACCTTGTACAACTCACTCAGATCTCATAAGCACAATGTTTCTCAATCCCACAAAATCATAAAATATGATTCTATTCAGATTTTGTTCAAGATTTAACACGAACCCAGAACCAAAATAAATCACACAAACGCCTCACATTTCACTCGTGTTTCCCTTGAATCCAACCAGAGCTCTATATACCAATTTATTGGTGCACAAGGTTAATAAGTGAAGAAAAGGTAAGAGAGAATAATATTAAAGCTCTACAATGAAGACTATAAAGTTGTAAGAAAGAATGATTGAACAATGATTATTATTACTGTTACTTTTACAAATGACAACTACTACTAGTCTATTTATACACAAAGTAAATTGTCATGTAGGCCCTAATAAAAGTAAACTTAATGACTATGTTAAAAGGTACAAACTAGGAAATACTAAACTTAACAGCTATGCTAACAAACTCAGCTTTAGAACCCCGAAAGTTAAGCATACTTCTGGGTGTAACCTCATAAGCTTCTGCTTCTGACTAACAACTTCAGAAGCTTTAATGTCGTGAACATGTTACTGCAATGACTGTGATTTTGTTTTTGCTATTGGGCTTTGCACTTTTCCTGATATATTACTACTGAAATATGGATTTGTTTTTGAAAACTTGATTTGCTCATTGGGCTGGAGAATTGCAATTCTTACTTGCTTAGATTGTGATGAAAATCTGGTTTTTTTACCGAGTTTCCTATGCAGTGAATGTCCCTTTCACCTCTATTGTGAACCAAAAACTTTAGTCCTTTTTGTGATTTGAAGTAGAGGTTTCTTTGGCCCATGATTAACACTTGACCTGAATTGCTAAGAAAAAGTATAAGGCCTTTTTGTTGGATTTGTGAACATGATTGAATGCAATTCCTAATTCTGATTCCTTGCCCGAACCCTTGTGATGAAATTGAAAAGAAGCTTGCTTGAAAACTTCTTGCTTAATAATTCTTGTTCGTGTCTTTTTGATGATTTCTTGCTAACA